GACGGTGGTCAGGACCTATGCGCTGCGTGCCACGTCAGCAAAGCCTAGTGCCCGGCGCCACAGAAGGACGTGCCCCGATTTTTAAATGATTACTTCCAGCCTATTAATATTAAAAATATAATTTTTCATATTCAAAACATAATTTAAAAAGCTCAGCCTGCCCACCACTTGATTTACATGGCATCTAAAAGAACGTCTTTAAACTGGTAGTTCATTAAAAGATTTAATATTTACATTTTCTTTACTTATCTCTGTCAGTTCCAGAGTAGATGCTTGGGTACTTCCTAAATCCTGAAGAAAAGATGAGATTAATTCTTAACAGCCATCAGAATTGCAAGTATAACCTACTTGACATATCAAAAATACTGAACTGAACAGAAAAGTGCTGGAAAAGTATGACCCAGAAATGCACCTGACACCGGGGTCCTTTCCCCTTACCAAACCCGCAGTCACTGAAGGGACGCTGTCGAGTCGAGATCGCCAGCAGGTGGCGCAGCTGTTGAGTGCAAAGTACATCTTTTTGGAGGGCAAGTTAGTTTCAGTCATAACTTAAAATGGAAATATTTTTGGCTCAGACATTCTACCTCCAGAAAACTATCTGAGAGAAATGCTCTACTGTACTCCCAGGTCAACGAAAAATCCCCTATGTACCTTAAAGAAAAGGGGGCGGGATTGCTGTCTTGGGTGACTTTGTTAGAACCGCACTAGGATCTGAGATCCTACAGACAGTGAAGTCCAGATGGTACAGAAGAACAGTGAACTTGACCGTGCCCATGAGCAAATTCAAATATACACTTATATTTGAAGTTACACTTACTCTGCAAGAAAACGGCAGAGTAAACAGCTTCTGAACGAACAACAGAAGAGACCAGAGAGAGGCGGAGAGGCTGGGGCCCGCGGGAGCCCCGGTGCCTGCGTGGGCCCTCCTGGCCAGAGGGCCGTGGCGCCCCTGTTCACGTGCTCCCACACTTACACAGTGGGACGCAGCAACAGCAGTTCTGAGAAGGAAATTCACAGCTAAGCTACACGGGCCCACCTCGACAAACAAGAAAAATTTCAAATAAACGGCCTAACTCTACACCTAAAGGAACCAGAAAAAGAACTAAACCCAAAGTAAAAAGGAATGAAATAGTTAAGATCAGAAATGAAATAAAATTAAAATTTAAAAAAAAAATAGAAAAGATCAATTAAAAAAAAAAAAAACGCTGCTTCTTTGAAAAAATAAAACTGGCAAACTTTTAGCCAATCTCATCAAGAGAGAGTGAGCCCAAGTCAGTGAAATCCTATATGAAACAGAAGATACAGCAGACACCACGGAAATAAAAAGAATCTCAAAGAGTACTACAGTTACATGCCAACAAATTCGACAATGTAGAAAAAATGGATAAATTTCTAGACGTACATAACCTTCCAACACTGATCCAGGAAGAAATACAAAATCTAAACGGACTGATTACTAGCAATGAAACTGAAGCCGTATCAAAAAATTCCCAACAAGTATAAGTCCAGGAGCAGATGGCTTCACAGGTTAATTGTACCATTCAAAGAAGAATTAATACCTATCTATCTTAAACAATTTCAAAAAAAACTGATGAGGAAGGAATCCAGCCAAACTCATTTTACGAAGCCAGCGTCAATTACCATGATGCCCAAACCAGACAAAGACATTATAAAAAAGGAAAACTACAGGCCAGTATCACAATATCAGCCAACTGGATTTAACCATACATTAAAAGGACTACACACCATGACCAAGCGGGATTCGTCCCAGGGATGCAAGGATGATTCAGTGTCCATAAATCAATCAGTGTGATATGTCATGCTAAAAAAATAAAGCCTAAAAACCATACGATCATCTCACAGAGGCAGAAGAAGCATTGACAAGTTCAACATCCTTTTATGATAAAAACTCTCAACCACATGTGTACAAAAGGAACATATCAACGTAATAAAGACTATAGATGACAACCCCACAGCTAATATCATACTCGCTGGAGAAAAACTGGAAGCTTTTCTCTAAGATCAGGAACAAGACAAGGATGCCCACTATCGCCACCTGTAGTCAGCCCAGTTCTAGATCTTAGCCACAGACACAGGACAAGAAAAAGAAAAAAATGACATCCAATTGGAAAGAAGTAGAACTCTTGTTATTTGCGGAAATAGAACTCTCATTATTTGCAGATGACATGATATTGTGTATAGGAAACCCTATAGACCCCCCCACACACATATACAATTGTTAGAGCTAAAGGATGAATTCAGTAAAGTAGCAGGATACAGACTCAGTATATAGAAATCCGGTA